ATTCCATAAAGGTAGGTACATTGTATACATTCTCTCTGGAAGAGGTAATATTAAATTGTCTCTTAACTTACATATATGGATTTAAAGACTAATACTACATTTACTACAGTACATTCAGTCCTTGTTCTTAAAAGTCATTCAGGTTTATTATCTCTAGCATTTTCGGAATGATTCAAATCCATGCCTTTATACAAGATCGCATATTCATTTACATTAGGACCAGATCTGGGTATATTTCACTTGGTTGTTTCCCCACATTTGCAGCTGCTTTAAGCGCTAGTGCTTCTTGGTTCCTCCTATTTCCTGCCTGTGGTCCATAATAATCTAGACTCTTGTGGCCTGTAATGCTTTCATATAATTGAGCTTAGTGTGTAAGGTGCTGGGTGGCGTGGATGGCCTGTGATGTACAAGAGGTCAGACTAGAAATGATCTGATGGTCCCTTCTGGCATTGACTTCAATGAGCTTTGGGTTGGCCCCACATTACTCCAATACAGAGAAACATATCTAAGCTGGGATGATTCCTCAACTTGGTAGGCCTACAATACAGACAAAGAGTAATTTGAAATGCTGTGACCCCCCAGAAGTTCTATCACCGCCCTACCTGGGAGATACCCAAAGTATCAAAGACGACAAATCTTATGAAGATTTATCTTACAACCTTACCATCTCATGTCCAAGAACCTTCTTCTAGAAAGCATCCCTGTCACAATCACAGGGTTCCCTTCATCTTTCTGAGATTTCTTTCCAGTTTCTCTGAATATACCCTCCCCCACCCCCGCCCCCTGGCAGATGTTCAGCAGCTACTGGAAGGGGTGTTCCACTTTTCCCTAGTTGGGTAGGGTCTGGTACCAAGACAGACCTCATGGATAAAATATCCATCTCTGTGCATAGTACAGCAACACTATCCTAGTCATACTAGTAATAACTACTGAAGAGCACCACTTAGTTATTATAGGGGAAACAAATAGGGATGTGTCACCATCCCTGTTCAGGAAAGCACTTAAACACGTGCTTAACTTTAACAACCTCAGGGAAGCTACTTCTGGTTCACCAGGAATCAGTCTCTGTGACTCTAGTGCTTGGAAGACTCAGGCTGTGTCAAATCAGCAACCAGACACCCCTAGCTGGCCCATGCCAGCTAACTTGGGCTCACCAGGCTACGAGGCAGACGTCTAGGCTTGAGCTGGTCAAGGCCTTGAGACCCTGTGAAATGGGAAGATCCAAGAACTATGAGGCAGACGTCTAGGCTTGAGTTGGTCAAGGCCCTGAGACCCTGTGAAATGGGAAGATCCAAGAGTCCCAACTCCAGCCAGAGCCCGGAAGTCTACACAGCCATGAAACAGCCTCGTCGCCGGAGCCTTACAAGCCCAAATCAGTGGGTGTGGGCTAGCTACAGGTTTGTCTTTGCTGAGTAGACCTACCCTAAAGGAGCATGGCCTATTGGAACCAAAGCAGAGGTTTCATGGTTCCAGAGTGATCAGAGAATCTGTCGTCGAAGGAGGCTTTAAATCAGGGGTCTGAAACTGCATCCCAGGCTGAAGCAGTTGTGCAGTCTGGCCCCGAGTCATGATGGGCTTGCAGAGGCGGTCCCTTACCAAACCCCACCCCTTCCTGTCATCACCTCGGCCTCTTCCCCCAGCAAAAGCGGTCAGGCCCCACCCCCCGGGTGCAGGAGCACAGAGAAGCGGAGCGAGTGCACCTGCCAAGTGTGCTTCATTTCCCTGTGGCTCTTGCCACCTCAGGGAGAGCAGACGGTTCCAACTGCTAGGCCCCCCAATGATCCCTAAAAGCCACCTCTTCGAGGATGGGGTGCTATTTGGGAGAGAGAGGGGGGCAATAGGTGGGAAAGGGACAGGGCTTGGAGGACAGTAATGGATGGGCTCTCCCACCCCCCAGCCCACCAGGCTCCTGGGCCGGATTGTGCAACTGCTCTGGCCCGAAATGGCCCGTGAGCTCAGAGTTTGAGATCACCACTCTAAATAATTTAAGACATCCTCTTAGCAGTGCTGTTGTAGCAGTGTTGGTCCTAGGATATTAGAGATACGAGGTAGGTGAGGTTATTTATTTATTTTTTAAGATACAAGAGAAGATAAGAGTAGTCACACTGGGTCAGACCAATGGTCGGTCTAGCCTAACATCCTCAGACAGCAGCTAGTGGCAGATGCTTCAGAGCAAATGATAACATCCTCTGACAGCAGCTAGTGGCAGATGCTTCAGAGCAAATGAACAAAACAGGGCAATTTACTGAGTGATCCATCCTGTCATTGAATCCCAGGTTTTGGCAGCCAGAGGTTTAGGAACATGCAGAGCATGGGGTAATGTCCCTGACAGTCTTGGCTAATAACCATTGATGGAACTATCATCCATGAACTTATCCAATTTTTTTTTAATACAATTATACTTTTGGCCTTCATAACGTTGCTTGCCAACAAGTTCCCCAAGTTGACTATGCATGGCGTGCAGAAGTACTTCCTCCTCTTTTTTTTTTTAAAAGCATGCCACCCATTTGTTTCATTGTCGCATGGTGTGCAGAAGTACTTCCTCCTGTTTTTTTTTTTAAAGCATGCCACCCATTTGTTTCATTGTGAGACCCCCGTTATATGAAAGGGGTAAATAACAAATTGTTCACTTTATTCAAGCCATTTATGATTTTCTAGATCACTATCTTATCCTCCCTTAATGATCTCTTTTCGAAGATGAACAGTCCTGGTCTTTTTAGTTTCTTCCAAATGGAAGCTATTTCATGCCTCTATTAATTTTTGTTGCCCTTCTTTATGTTTTTTTCCTATTCCAATATATTTTTATACAGAGTGACCAGAACTGTGCGTAGCATTCAAGAGATGAGCGTAGCATGGATTTATGCAGAGGCATTAAGATATTTTTTTGAAAATATGATCTTATTTTCTGTGTTATTCCTAATGGCTCCTGATATTCTGTTACCTTTTTTAATTGATTCTGCACATTGAGCTAGTGTTTTCAGACAGCTATTCATGATGACTCCAAGATCTTTTTGTTGAGTGGTAACAGCTGATTTAGAACCCAGCAGTTTGTATGTGTAGTTGAAATTATGTTCTCCAATAGGCAGTATTTTGTATTTATCAACATTGAATTTCATCTGCTATTTTACTACCCTATCATCTACTTTTGTGAGATTCCTTTGTAACTCTTCACAGTCAGCCTTAAGCTTAACTTAAGAGCTTTGTATAAAGCTTGACTCGATCACCCACAGAAGTTAGTCCAATAAAAGATATTACTTCACCCACGTTTTCTTGCGAAGATCTTGAAATCAAGTAATTTAAATATATATTGCATGTCTCTAAGATTTTTTGGGAAAATCTCACTATCTGAACTTAAGAATAGCAATACTTGGTCGAACCAGAGGTCCATCCAGCCCAATATCTTGTCTACTGACAGTGGCCAATGCCAGATGCCTAGAGGGAGTGAACAGAACAGATAATCAAGTGATCCCTCTCGTGTCACCCATTTCCAGCCTCTGACAGAGGCTAGGGACACCATTCCTACCCATCCTGACTAATAAGTATTGATGGACCTAACCTCCATGAATTTATCTAGCTCTTTTTTGAACCCTGTTAAAGTCCTGGTCTTCACAACATCCTCTGGCAAGGAGTTCCACAGGTTGACTGTGCGTTGTGTGAAGAAAAACTTCCGTTTGTTTTATACCTATCTATTTAAAATTCAGACTGCTTTCCCTGACCAGTGCCACTCTTATCCACAGGGTAGATAGATTTCAGTTGCATAATCTGCACTTGATTCCTGCACAAATTCACATTCATCCACAGCAGCCCTGCACACGCTGAGTGAGTGCATATCCAAGTTAGGGACCCATAAGAAGAAATCCAATTCATCCACCTTTAAACACCAGTATCAAAGTGTTTGTATTTTTCTACTTGAATTGATGTTCCATTCCCTTAACTCCATTATAACATAATAAAAGACAATAACTATAACAACTTGCAACTGGTAAGTGCTAATCATTTTCAGAGGGTACTTATCTATTCAGGGAGGGAATAGCTGATCCAGATTCATTGTACTAGTTAATTCAGTGACATGGACTCTAGAGTATCTTTCACAATGCTGTGAAATATACATATAGCTGACTACTTTAAGTGATTTTCCTTACATGATTTGACAGATCTTTGATATGTTATAGGTCTACACATACACTATGTCTAATAAACATAGTTAGATGCACACCAAAATGATGTAGTTATAGATAAAATACAACATATGCATGGAGTGTATCATCTCAATACCAGGTAATATTGTGTAATAAGAGCAAGTCAACCATGTTCCTGTTCCTGCCGCAACAAAATCTAAAACATTTAAATTGAACCACAACAAAATCTAAAACATTTAAATTGAACTTTTAAATTGCAAACACGCCCTTTTTTCTAAACACCAACATATTCTTCAGACCTTTTTAAGGGAGTGCTTTTTTGTTGTATTTGTACAGTACCTTGCACAGTGGTGTCTGGGTTCATGACTGCAGCTGGTAGGTGCAGTTGCAATATAAACAAACAGAGGATGTCATGTATACACATTTAATGCTGTGCATGAGATTTCTGTCCTGGCTGGTAGGTGCAATTGCAATATAAACAACAGAGGACGTCACGTATACACATTTAATGCTGTGCATGAGATTTCTGTCCTGTCAGATTAACTTTGTTGTGACTTACATTTAAACTGTATTTGTATTCTGCTTAAATATGCTAAGAATTATCCTGTGGGACCATGGTAAAATGTAGTCATGTTTATTTGTAATTGCTACAAAATGGTTTACAAAATTGTTAGTGTCTTTTATTATGCCCTGCTACTGAAGCACTTGCTTGTTAATTAGAGAAATTTCAGCTGTCATAGCCGGCAATTATAGCTTCTGTATCACTGTCTGTTATGAATAGTCAATGAGAACTGATTAATATGCATGAGTAGCAGTATATAGCATGTGCACTGGACCACAGTACAGCAGCTTGGCTAAAGCAGTAGAGGGAGTGTTGTGTACTGTGAGTGAAGAAGGGAAAGCACTAAAGAAAACAGGCTTAGTTGCTTTCCAACATTCAGTGTAATGCCAACCTGAATTGTTTCAGTCCAGCTGACTCACCTAGGATATCTGTGTATATGTTAACAAATATTTCTGTGGCTGTGCTGGTGCATAAAGAAGACTTTCTCTGACACTTAATTAAATATGGGATGCAGTTTGTGTACTCTACAGAAGCAAGAAGAGCAGTACAAATTATTGTATGAAGTTTGTCAGGTAATATCATTGGCTTTCATTTCTAAGACCAAACATTCTCATCTAGCTTAGCAACAATTGTTATTGCAGGAAAGAAAGGAATGGAGAGAGTGCTTGCAATAGTGAAAATTGAAGGTTTGTTGTCTTTTTTGATGTGTGTAATTTTTACTCTGTTTTTATGATGTGCCTTCCCAACTGTGCTTGTGGAAGATCAAATATTTACATTCAGATTGGTACACAGTTAAATTTGCTACAAGTCTTCATGTTACAAACCAGTGTGCCAGAGTCATTTTCTCCAGCATATGTTAAGTAAAATGTCTCAAGAAGGGTCATAGCTTGGTCATGCACTCTTTGAATAAGTTAAGAAAGACATGGGCGATGATTGATGCTTAGAAAGGTATTGTCTCTTTTTTACAAATAGTTACAAGATACTTTTCTGTGAAACACATGTATTTACTTCTGACTTCAGCTTTAAAAGTAACTGTTCATACCAGCTCTTTAAATCAAGTTTATGTTTAACTCTTGCAGTTTCTGCTCCACTCACTGTGTGTGGAAATGTATCAGCTAACCAATTATTAGACCTGGCAGAAAATTAAATATTTTGTTGTAAATTTCTTTCAGAATTATTTATCAAATTTCAGATGGTGTTAAGAACATTGAGGATGTACTCGCTACTATTTTAAAATAAGTGCTACTTTACATTTCTCTACTCAGAGTTTCATCTGTATTGTATGTGCGTCTGAAACAGGCTACTCTACCCACCTAAAATGTTCTTTTGGGGTGGAAGTGAAGGTTTGCATTATGTAAAATGTTGGAAGATCTGAAACAGGCTACTCTGCCCAACTAAAATGTTCTTTTGGGGTGGAAGTGCAGGTTTGCATTATGTAAAATGTTGGAAGGGTACTGTGGTGGACTTGTGTGTATTTATTTATTTTAGACCTCAAACAGTAAAATACCTTTTAATTTTTAGAATCTGAAAATGTGATTGATACAATGGCACATTTGCATCAAATAACTCAGAACTTGGAAATTTTAATTATAGGAATTTTCAGTTAACATCTCATTTTAAGAATGTGCAACAATCACAAGCCACCACATACAGTTGAATCAGTTAATGTACAAGATGTAATTTCCTACACTCACCAGCAGAGGGTGTTGAGTATCATTGCAAAAGAGGTACAGAGTAAAATCATGTGGCCTTTGTTATGGTGCTACCTGGATTTGACAGAGGGTGTTGAGTATCATCGCAAAAGAGATACAGATTAAAATCATGTGGCCTTTGTTATGGTGCTACCTGGATTTGATCACAGGATATATTGATGTCCTTGAAAACATAGCAAATAAAATGTGTCCCATGTGCTCTGCAAGCAGGGAAGTGACTCCTTTTTAAAACAGTTTTCATCTAATTTGGTGTCGCCCTCAAAAGGACAGTCTTGCTTTGTGGAAAAAATACTTGTTAAAAACAAAAGAACATATTTACTGTCATTTTTATTTATCCCAATTCATTCTCCCTTATTAACCTGTCGTGCATGTCACAACGGGAAAACATTTTAAGCGAGATAACAAGATTTCTTGAACATCATTTCCCATTTGATGTTGATGTTGATATTGTTTGTGTGAACCCTTCTGTTAAGATCAGGCGGCGTCTGCTCTAATAGTTAGCCTTCCAGTGTTGCCAAGTTTTCATGCAGCCTGGATGTGATGACTATCAATGCATTACACAGTCAGAAGTGTAACAAGCAGAACAAACTGAGACAGCAGCAAATTATGAATATTTTAACTGTTTACTCAGCTTGCAGAACATTGTATTATATCGGAAAGAGACAGTCTTTTCAACATAGAATCATAGGACTCAAAGGGCTCTCAAGAGGTCATCTAGTCCAGTCTCTTGCACTCATGTCAGGATGAAGTATTATCAAGACATCAGTTACAGATTCAGGTCCCCTTTCTGCAATCACTCAAGGCACATGCTTAAGTTTTGTCACAGGGTACAGTCTCAGTGGATTTCAGTCAGCCTGCTTGCTTGCCTAATGTTAAGCATGAGCATAGGTGTTTGCAGGATTTGAAGCCCCAGTGCTGGGGCATGAGCCTGCAAGGTACAGAGGCCCTGTTTCAACCAGGCATTTACACATGTTTCACTGCAGCCATGCTTAGCTTTAAGCCTAGGCATAAATGCTTTGCTGAACCAGGACCCAAATGCCTTCAATTTCTACAGGTTGCTCTGCCTTCTGCAGATGTAAGTCCTTTAGTGCCCTGGGCTTCTGTTTTACTTATAAGGAAGCAGTGACAATGTGTTTATACACATGATTGTGCATAATTAGTTTAGAGACCAAAAAGACTGTATTATGTTATTTTAAGACATGGCAATCGGGGTTTTTTATGAATATTGTTTTCTATTATACCCTGTCAAAAGCACAGTTCCTACATGTTCTAGGATAGTGAGGTTAAGTTTATTTTTAGGACATTTATTTAGCAAGAGATTGGCTACTCAAATCCAGCCTTTAACTGAACTTTAATAATCAGTCAATCAGATTTAGCAGCGAGTGAACAATGCAGAATCATTTTAATTAAAAATAATAAAATGTAAACACTTTTTAATAATATGGCTCTTGCTTTTTACTTGGTAACATTCATATAAGTCTAGCATTATGAAGCTATGCTTTTGGTACTTACAACGAAACTAAAGGAAATATTCTTTTTAAAAAGCCTGGCTCTGCTAAAGTTTGCATAATTCAGTTTTATGAAATACTAAAGTATTGGTATAAATAAATCCCTGAACCTTATCTTTAAAAGTTCAGCACTCTGGCCTGCAGGAATTCAGAAAACACTTGCAGGAATTAATAATTGTACATAACTGCACTTTCTCTATTAGACCAAGAGCTTTAATATAGCTGGGAAATTAATGCTGCAATAAATTACAATTCCAGAAGGTCCAGTACGTCTGACTCTGTAAATCCTCATAACAGGGAAAACAAAGAGGATCAAATATACCAGGGCTCAGGCTTTATCCCTTCCTTATCCACAGATAATTCAAAGAGATCCTCTTCATTAAGGGCTTTGGCACATTGCCTACAATTTCTTTTTGGGCCGCTGTGAGCTTAATGATGCAGAACCATGGTCTTCCCTCTTGTTGAACACATACCTTATTGTACCTTTAATCACATAATAAAAAGCAAATTAAGACACCTAGTCATTAAAGTGTATTGTGGATGTTGTTCATATCAGTGCTTTGTATTAATGAATTTAAAGTGGACTGTAGCAACTTAAAATCTCAATGATCTAGAATGACAGTTGTCACTTGAGACAGCCAAGCTTATAGCATGCGACCAGCAAATTATTCTTTCTAGTCTTCTAATACCCACAACAGCAAATTTTGCTCATTACACTGTATCCATAAGTCCTGGCACTTCCAAGGTAGTTCTATACCTGCCGTGATTTAATTATCATGTGCAACATCTGAGATAAAGAATTATCTTCTGTTTGATTTTGTCTTCCTTGCTGAATGATGTTTTTCAATACTACCATGTGGTGGAGAGGAGAGAAATAGCTTTGTGCCGTGGGGTATAATCAGAAAGCTCTTTTTCAGACCATTTTTCTCACTCAACATCTTCAGCTCCCATTGAAGCTAATTGTCAGCTAAAATCCTAAGCAAACACTACTGAAGAAACATTAGAGAAGTACATTATCTGAGGTGGATCTTTTTATATTTTTAACCTGACATACACTAAGGCCCCAACTGAGGAAAGCACTTAAGTACATGCTTAACTTTAAGCACATGCTTAAGTCCTTATTAGCTCCAGTGGGACTAAAACACTTGGGCTATGTCTACACTTGCGGCTTCTTGCACAAGTACGGCCGTTCTCGCGCAAGAATCTGCAGAGCATCCACACTCCCCGCCCGCTCTTGCGCAAGGAAATTTACTGTACGGCGTGGTAAGAGAGGGCTCCTTGCACAAGAGTTACGCTCTTTTTTATCAGGTGTAAGCCCTCTTGCGCAGGTGCTCTTGTGCAAGAGGGCAGTGTGGATGCTGGGCAGGGATTTCTTGCGCAAGAAAGCCCTATGGCTAAAATGGCCATCAGAGCTTTCTTGCACAAGAGAGAGTGTCCACACTGCCATGGGAGCTCTTGCACAAAAGCACAGCCAAGATGTTCTTGCACAAGCATTTTCTTGGGTAAGACTTCTTTCACAAGAACCCTTGCACAAGATGTTCTTGCACAAGAAACTGCCAGTGTAGACATAGCCTTGCTGATGTGCTTTCCTGAAAAGGGGCCTACGTTCTCAGGGACAGGAATACAGAGTTTTTCAGCTCTAAGTCACAGGTTTAAATGTGACCTCGCTAGCAGTGACTGAAAGCTCTTCCTATGGGATTAGCTTCTCCCACTATCATTCCATGTGATCAGTTGTTTGTTCCATGTGGAATGCGTTGGTGGAGTTCACTCCAATGCCTGAGAGGGACAGGTGTCCATATCACACAAACCACCCATCACAGGTGATGCTCCCAGCTGAGAGATGCAGAGGTGAATGAGCCTAGGGAAGTGGTCACCAACCAGTAGATCTTGGTGCCTCTGACAGGTGATCTTGACTGGTTTGGCCAAGAGGCTATCAAATGAAGCACTTCAGCTGCCCCTCCCTTCCCCCTCTCTCTGGCCCCTTCCCACTCCACCCCACCACTCCCACTGCTGTGCAACTCCTGTCCTTTTGCTTTGGAGCCGTTCTCCTCTCCCACCCTGTAGTCTGTCTCCATGGAACGGGGGTGAGGGGCACAACAGGATTTGGGATGGAGGGAATTTGCTGGCTGCTTTTGAGAGTGGTACAGGGCCAGGGCAGCAGTGAGCCTGCCTTAGCCCCACTCATCACCACACAGGAGCCACCTGTGGTAAGCAGTGTCTACCTGGAGCCTGCATCCTGAATCCCTGTCTGTCATGTACCCCTTCCTGCATCCCAAGCCCCTGTCCTAGCTCTGAGGCCTCCTAGACCCAGACTCTATTACAGAGCCTTACTCCTGCACCCCAACCCCTGCC